TCGGATTCCGTGTCCAAGCCTCCAGCAAGGGAACATGCGGGAGCTACACGGACCACCATACCTGCATGCCTGCTACAGCAGGTGGGCTATACAGGCCAGGGGTCAGCTGGCAGCGTCAGGACCAAGCTTCATTTGTGTGGTCAGTCACTGTGCCTTGCCTCCAGTCCCCTCCCCCTACGAACATTAGCAGTACCTGCTTAATGCCTGTCGGGGGGGCCAACGATCTAGTATCTCTAGATGGCGTGCACCAAATATGCCCATGTAAGGTACATGAGGCCGATGGGAATCGAGCCCATGACCTCCTACATCGTGCTGGTGTACCCTATCAACTGAGCTGGGCCTCTGACACGGACAGAAAAGAGGTGCACATGCAGTGTCATGCACCCGATTTTTTTCAGTTTTCTTTTGTGCACCCCAATTTGAAAACCGAGACATTGAAACCGAAAGCAGAGTCTTAAAAAAAGAAGAAAGATTCTTTTTATATTGGAATGCCCTGATGTTAAGTGATCAGTGAAGCTGAGTAATCCTCTTGAGCACCCGGAAGATTGTGCGGTCCCCGGCCTCGATTTTCACATTTCATTGCAGCAATGAACTGATCTGTTTTCATAAAGGAAAAAGAAGAACGAAAGAAAGAAAAGAAAGAAATCCAAAAGTCTGTACTACTCGTACGGGCCTGTTTCAGGCGCTGAGGCCTGTCGGCTGAGCGCTTGAGATCAAGCAGTGCCATTCAGAGAGGCCAAAATGTCGTACTCGTACCTGCCTGTTTCGGGGACTCGGGCCTGTAGACTGAGCTGTACGAGGACGAAGGTCGAAGGTGGAAGGTCTGTGATGCGAGTTTGCGTCGTAAACCTCCAGCTACATTGTTATTTAAACTTATTTTCAATTCCAGTTCTGTTGGCTGAAGCGCTTTAGATCGAGCACACTCAGAGATGCCGACGGGTCCTAGGCCCACGAAGATGAACGAGGGTGCTGGTATATTTGCTTGCCAGGAAACGATTTACGACAACGGTAACCACAAATTACTGACACTGAAACTAGGCTAACAGCCGGGCTGCCCGGGTCCCGGTGGCCAGCCCGTGCAGGGACCAGGGAAGTCCCAGCAAAAAAAAAAAAAAAAAAAAAAAAAAC